TACACATAGTGTCAAATGCTTTTGTTGATTAGAGTTCAATTCTATGAAACACAGACACATGGCGTCTGACCTATGATACTGATCTTTCATTGTTCTCTAATCTATTACCAGGGCATGTGTATTATTCTTTAAACGAATTGAAGGTTCTTACTACAAACATGGATTAAAACATCGAAGACGCTTCAATAAGCTAAAGTTTTCCTCAAGTACTTTAAGGGTCTTTAGTAAGAATTCCAACTCAGTCAAGGTGAATGCGCCGTCAGCCAATGTCAATAAGCACCAGAGAGTGACTCTCGAGAAGAATGTCCGATAGAAAATTCACAGCTACCTGCTATCTCCCACCACACACACTTTTTATATTCTTTCTTTCTCTCCCTTTCGCTTTATATCTATCAATCATTCTTTATCTATATACCTAACTTGTTATGCATCTGTGTATCTATTTGTATACATCATTTACACACGCACAGCTTTATGATTTCGGTAAAGCAAATTCCTTGCAAAACGCCCACGCACAAAAGGCTTAGGATAATTAACGTCGCAGCTATAATTAGCAGAAGATAAACAAACCGTGAGCCTCTTTGTCTGTGCCACTCTGCCCTCCGCCACTGGTCCGCGCTCGCTGTTCTGTGCGCCTGCCCATTCGCGCACCATACCCTACCTTACCCCGGTGCCCACTGTCCCGGTTCAGTTCCTTGTGCAGCGGTGGCGGGGCAGGGGAGATCGTGTCCAAGCTATGAGGCACGCAGTGTGTGTTGCGGCGGAGTGACTTGCGCCCAGGAACCGTAGCTGTAGGCACAGGTAGGGCCCGAGGAGTGAAAGTAGGCCTACTACACTGTCGATCGGGAACGCAATGAATGGGTTATATTCACGAAAGGACTGAGGGCGCCTTCGCTGCTCCTCTGTTTTACTCTAATTCAGGCCAAGCAACTTAAGTGGAGCGTGTGGTAGCGCGGGCTGATGTCCGTTCATAACCGCGGACCCAAGTCGTGGGGTTTGCCAAGGAGATCAAATTCCGCTGCACCATAATTAATAACAACTAATTGCGGTTCGAACACGTGTCTTTAGCCTTCGAATTAACTACGGCCGCATTCGCCACGTGTGGAAAATGGATTCATAAATGGAATTTTCGGTACGTGTTCGGCGACAAGGTCAAACCCAAAGGTGTCGCCGTGTAACGCTTTGATGGCCGTGATATTGCTCTCACCGCAGCCACTTCTACAGGCGAGTCACCTTTGTCGGTCGGCCGTCATATTGTACGAGTTTTTTGCGTGACGCTGATTCCTCTTGAGGTAGATAAGAGTTGTTTAATTTCCCTGTCTGTCTTCTGCTGCCTCAGAGGACATACATATTCCCCTCGCGACACATCAGATGACAGCGAGCAAAAATATTACTTATGTTTGGTACCTTTAACTATTGACTTAGAATCATGTAACAAAAACTATCTTTACAGCACCTTTTCAGATGATTACGATTAGTGAATATCATACACTTTGTTTACCAGTCTCGAAAAGTTGCCCAGAATGTAATAGCAGCGTTTCGTGTTTGCCAAAAGTTATACCTGGCTCTCCTCACGCTACGTAAAACTCTCCCAGGCGTGCATGATAGAACCCAGTAAACGCCACCTGTTGATAACTTTTGATAAACCTCTGGCATAACAACGTGGGCAAATTTACACGGAAGTTTTATTCTACCGTTTCACACTTTTATTCCTGTTAATGAGTTCGCCACCGATGTTGTTCGTTAATGTTTAGTTTACATTAAATTTGCAGTCACAGCGTGTGGCTTAGTCAACAAATCAGCTTAATAAAATTAACACATATTTTTTCCTCTGTCGGCCTTGAGTGAAATGCAGCTTAACTCCGTTTAATCTCCCCTTCGCTCCCTTTTTCCTTTTTGTTTTTCTTTAAGTTCTCATTCTGACTCTCCTCTTAACCACAGCTGAAAGGCAAAGACGCGGTCCTTTTCTGCATGACGTGTGACTGACATCTGCTCCGACCTTTAAAAACAACCCCCCTCTTTCTCTCTGTTTTTCGTGTGTGCGCACAGCCATGCATGTGCACGTGTATGTATGTGTACCTATGTATGTAGCCACACGGCGCATGATGATTTCCTCCTAAGTAAACGTAAACAGTGACTAGAAAGTTTGCCTTGTTAATACATTTCATTTTCATGTTGTGCAATTTCGTATTTGTTAATACTATTTACTATGAAATAGATGCAAAGCTAATATCAACAGATTATACCTATATCATTTTTTCTTTGTCTCTGTTATTATAGTATAATATGTTCATTCTTTTGATTGCATGTATTAATTATACCAAATATTTGTCCTAATACACGTTCATAACCTAGTCAATATCTTTAATAAGTGTTGTGCAAAACATTTTCTATCTCCGACATACGGTTTCGAATAAAATCCAGACAGACTATTCACTTGTAATAATATTTTCACATTTCATGTTTTATGTCAATGCAGTGATACAGAACTTTTGTCGAGCCGTTAAAACCGTTAGAGAGTGAAGGATGAGTGAGAGTGAAAAGGGATAAAGGGAAATGGAATCCTATGTTCAGTTCACTTCGCTCTGGCCTCTATGTCTCCGTACCGAGGTTAATCTGTGATGACTAGTGGACTCCAGAAATAAAACAGTTAGCAGGGGGTACAAGTAAGGTCAAGCAAATATACATTCATGCATACAAGCACACACACACGCATACATATACAAACAAGCATGCATGTGGCCGCGCGCACGCACACGCACACACACACGCACACACGCACGTACACGCACATACACATGCACATGCACATGCACATGCACATACACATACACATACATACGCACACACGCACACGCACACGCACACGCACGCACACACACACACACACACACACACACACACACACACACACACACACGCACACGCACACGCACACACACCACACACACACACACACACACACACACACACACACACACACACACACACACACACACACACACACACACACACACAATCCCTAAAAAAATAAGGGAAAGAACAAGAATCCAAAAAGGGGAAAAAAACAAGAATCAGCGAAAAAACACACACACAAAAACATGAAACGATCAGTTATCTGGCCAAGAAAAACGATAATAAAAAAATCCACTTTTCACAGTCGCGACACGAACTGTGTGAGCGAGGTAAACACAAGGAGAGAAAAGTTTACATCTTCGGGGAGAAAGTTGACATTGAGTTAGTGGTTGTTCCGGTGCCAGGTAAGCAATGTGGGCGATTTATCTTGCAGAGCGAAATACGCAACAGGAGAGAGAATCAGTAATAGATTATCTATCTTTGTAAGACCCTTTTGTTCGATTTTTAACAATGGGGAGTATTTACGAATTGGTATAGTTTGTACTACGTGAATTACCTTGAGTCGTAACACGCTACGTTTACGTTAACGGTCGCGTAGGTATCGCAAATGTAGCGATACTTGCTAAGATATCTATCTACGAAATATTTAATGGCGAAATGATATAGATTCGGTGACTAGCGAAAAAAGTGAATAATTTTTAGATGCTTTTTGGATCTGCTGGATCAGCTTCTTGGAATTATTATTATTATTATTAATTATATTATTATTATTATTATTATTATTATTATTATTATTATTATTATTATTATTATTATTGTTATCATTATTATTATTATAACCTCCTCCTCCTCCTTATTCTCGCTATCATCCTCATCGTCACTATCATCATCATTCCGGGTGGTTATCCTTCTAAATTCCTTGACAAAATTTCCTTGTCAGATTTTCCGTAAACATGCCACTATAAAACAGCACAACATAAAAAATATCAAAGGAAAACACACTGAAAACTCCCATTGCCATAAGATGCACGAGAAAACAACAAAAGATTATTCCTTATATTTGTAAGAACTTGTCAATAGGTAAATATTTCATTAGTAAATACACACACAAAACTCCACCACTCGCAAGTCCTCAGTCTCGCCTCTACTTATTTCTCTTTAATTAATATTTAATACTTCTGATGGTCCATTTATATAAAAGATTGCTCGTTGTAAACAATTACAATTAGGGTCACGGTATAATTGTTAATCATTACATTTCAAAATCTAATTACAATTGCGTTCTCTGGCTTCTTTTGCTAATTAGGTTAGCGATATACAGCTCATTCTTATTTTATGATAATAGTGTAGCACACGATATGGAGCTGGTAAGCGAAATATTTCATTATTGTTGTTATAATAATAATAATGATAATAGTGATAATGATGATGCTGATAATAGTTATAATAATGAGGATAATGACAATCACTACCATTGTTATTAACACTATTCTTTTTATCAATATTTTGTCAATGTTGGTTTTGTTATATTCATCGCTACTACCATCACCATCATCATCACCTTTATTTTCATCATTATCATCGCTATTATCTGTATCAATAACAGTATCAGTACGAACATTAGTATTGGGTCATTTTTTGTATTTTTGGCCATGAATAAAACACCCGTGATCTTAATAGCGCAAAAAGCTGCATACTAGGTCACCCACCCTATTGTTAGAGCCCCTTGCTACACCCCTTATGTAAACTGATTACATAAAAAGTCCAGCCAATAGTCTGTGATTTTCTTTTGTTTACATTACGAGGAGCAGGGAAGGTAAGCATTGGGTAGCAGGACCAAGGACTGGCTGGTACTGTGGTAACATTCAAATATACTTAGGTACGTTTTTCTGTTCGTTTTTACTCTGTATGATTAAGGAATTGAGTTATCGAGAAAAAAAATTTGTTTGTGCTTTTTAATATTGTGCCTTGTGTGTATTTTGTTTGTTACTTAAGTGTCGAAATATGATTTTTTTATTTTTTTTTATTTTTTAAAGAGAGTGATATATAACATCACAGATGTCTTGCTTTTGTTGTTTGTCGCCTTGGAATGTTAACAATGATAAAGATAATGATAATAAACATTATAATAGTGATAATAATAA